TTTGGGGTGAATACTTCCATGTTTTGGGGATTGGAAGGCTTCAGATTGCTCTGAATTTTATGTGACATCTCTGAAGAGCTTTCTCTTTCCCAGCAGCCCAGCTATGCTAGATTGAAGAGACTTTCCTTGATCATTTCAGATGGGTAGCAGGACAGTTCTTAGAAGTGGAGATGTTGCTAGCTGCAGAGTTTACCTGCTTTCCAGGACGAAAAGTGCCACAAGTTTGTTGTCAATCTGAAAGCTCTGCAAATATTTAAGCAACACTATAGTGACATATGAGGGAAAATTCCCTTTGAAATATTTTATCTTCAATATAGAAGGCGCACACAGATCTATTTTGAGAATAAAAGTGTCCTTTGTATTCTAAATACTTTTTTTTTCAGTAGGATTTTGTGTAGGGAACCAGTTGGGCTTCCTTCCCCAGTCCCTGTAGGCAAAGCCACCAGTGGCTGAGAGACCTTCTTTTACACAGAGCTTCTTTTGAGAATGGAGGAGCCCTGTAAGTGCAGCAAGAGCAACATACAATATTTGGTCTCTGAAATACTTCCACAAAATCATTCTTTGCGGATCTAGGCTGTACATCAGAGAGAACTTGATCTAAACCGATTTAATATTAGGTAGGAGGGTTAAATAGCATTGGTATTTTTTTTCATTTGGGGGTTAGTAATTTATCACTCAAAGTTGTAGAATATATTAATTATCAGAACAATTGGGCCTATTGAAAGTTTCTTAAGTGAAAGCCACAAGTTATCAGATAAATTTAGAGTTGTGTAATTTTCTCATAACCCTTCACTTGCAAGCCTTTCTGCTTTCAGTGTAGGATGAGGTCTGGCAGCGAGGTTAACCCTGACCTCTGGGTATTCTATATGGACTCATTCATTTCTGCCACATTCTTTCAGTTTAAATTTAGATTTGCTGGCAGCTATTATGCCTATTGCAATAAGCTCCATGGGCAAAACATTGAAACAAATATGCCTTTTATCACAGATGTTTTTGCTGAATAAGATTAGTGAAGAACCCTTGGAAGCTAAAAAACAGGGTGCAGAAGCCTTTGGTCCAAAAGGCATAAATAGTTGAATGTCTGGAATGTATTTACTTCTCAATCCAAGGAGTGAGCAAGTAATTGTTTAGGTGATGGACTGTAATCTTGCACCCTGTTTTACCTCTGTAATTTGTCATTGGTAGTAATGAAATTTTAGCTATGTAAGTGAACACGCAATCTGGATATGAATGTGTATATGTAACAGAAACATTAAGCTCGCTGTTCTAAAACAAGCTGTGGTTGCTGTCGGAAGCAGTAACCTACAACTAAATTTTATGTTTGGCTCATTGCTAAATGTGTCTTTGTAATTAAACAGTTGGGTTAGGCCTTCATATGCAATAACTATATGAAGCATAATAGCTGCACCTGTAAATTAAACTGTAAGTTTAAGGAAGTGCATAGCGCTTAATTTTAAATTTAGCACAGAGGATGATACTTCTGTTTTATTATATTTTTATTCTTTTTTTGTCTAACCTGAGTATATGGGACTTGAGAAATCCATATGGCAAAGGGGCATTTCAAGGGCAGTGTGTCATTCTCTGCCTAATGTTTGACATGATCTTCATAGATAAGGTTGCTCCACCTTGAAAGATTTGTTTCACGAGGGATTCTCTGGTCTCACTTTCTACTGCTGCTCATGTGTCTAGGATAGGACAAGAGGAGACGGCCTCCATATGAAGCTAGGGGAGGTTTAGATTGGATATTAGGAAAAATTTCTTCACCGAAAGGGCTGTCAAGTGTTGGAACAGACTGCCCAGGCGAGCGGGGCAGTCACCATCCCTGGGGTATTTGAAGGATGTGTAGCTGTGGTGCTGAGGGACATGGTTTAGCGGTGGGCTTGGGAGTGTTAGGGTAGCTGTTGGCCTTTTCCAACCACAATGGTTCTATGAATCTATGTTCTGAGGTAACATACAAAAAAGGTTCCTGTAATGCGCTTCTGTCTCTAAGCTTTTCAGGTTCTTCAAAAAAAATAACCGCATCCCTATGCATTGCTGAATGACTGTGTCGCCAACAAAAAAAGGATACCTTGGGAGTATACAGAAAGGAGTTTTCTCCCTGTACACCTTTTTGGGGGGAAAAACAGTGAATAAAGCAGGCCGTGGTTCTTAGATAATTTAGAGTGAGGTGTTTTTTCCTCCTGAAGAGCAGGGCACAAAAGCTTGCAAAGATGCTCTGACCCCACTGCCTCTGCAGTTGCTATGGGCAGGATACTCAGCTCTTCTGAGCACTTTGATGGCATCCAACCTAGTTCCTAGGGCTGAACACTGGGGAGCTGTGTTCCTCGTGAATGGGTTACACAGAATTTATTCACTGGTTAGGAGACCTACTGTGCAGGCGGTATATTTTTGAATGTAAGTAGCATCATGGTTTTGCTCTTCAGCAGGAAATTTCAGGCAACCTTTGAAATACGTAGCCAGTCAGTATTTGTTCCAAATGGTACTTTTGTGCCAAATTTCCAATTAGTGAATGGCATTTGTTAAGCAGGCCCATTTGGCTTTATCCTGAAGGATAATGAAAACCCATCTTTTTCCTCATCCCCTTAATAGACACAATATAGAGTATTACTGAACTAAAAAAGACAGAACTGAATTGAGAAAAGTAGGAGAGTTAGAGTTTGGGGAAACTCTTCAGGGCTTACATTTTTAAGGAATGACTGTGGTTTGGTTGTTACAGTAAAACAAGAAACTTATAAAAGGGGGGAGGTTGGCTCATACAGATGTTGGTGAATGCTGGAAATATTGTTCCAATAGGGAAGTATTTGTCAAGATAAAGGCAAAGTGTTGGAGCTGTACTTTTAACTGTAACAATATGTCATGTGTTTGTATTATTACATGCATTTGGAGTGTCTTCATCAGAAATATTTGGAAGCCTTTCTTTAAGTCTTCGTAAGTTTTCATTTTTGCATTTGGAAAATGCTAAATTAGAGACACCTCTCCAGCCCCCGAAATACTTTTTTTTCTGCCATGGAACAGAAAATGGATTGTTTGCACTTAAGTAAATCTCTCCTACTTTTTTTTTTTGACTCAAAAATCCTAACTTCTAATGTAACCTTCAGTGTTTGTCATCTGGCAAGTACAATTTTTGCATAGCTCACTGAAAAATCAAACACACTTACTCATTTCTGTATGTAATTGTTGCCTCAGAATTGTTTACCACTGATTGGTAAGAAAGCACATTCTTACAGCTCCTTTTTCTTAATTACATTTTAACTGTGTTGAGAAATAGAACGTACTTACTAGATTTTGATGCACTTCCTACGTTAATTGTTGCTGGAGTTTAGGTTGGGTTATGTGGTTTTTTCCTTGTTGTTGGATGTTTTGAGCATTCTTTACTTTGGGAAAGACAAATATGTAAAGAAGCATAACTACAGGAAAATGTAGAATCTTTTCTTTCTCTAGAAATCAATGTTGTGGACATTTATCAACAGACATATTTCCTGTGTAAGATCATCTTGCTTAGAAAGGATTCAACAGGGGGAATACCTTTTGATACTTTCTGTGGAATATCCTGTATTTCCTATATTTAACTTTTAAATGTTTGGGAAGACAATGGGAAGTAATCAAGGAATCTGTTTAAATAATTATAATAGCTGCAGAGGTGTAATACAGCTTTGATGAATACAACTTCTCACAGCATTTCAGGAAAATGCTTGGAGGTTTATAACAACTTGGGAAATTCCAAATAAATATTTGGAAAACTAAAGTTTGGATATTAAATTTTCAATGTTTCAAAGCAATCCCTACAAAGATAACACTCGCCTCTCTGAAGGGAGCATGCTTCTGTTGGTAGTATTGGACCAGATATCTGACGATCTGGGGCATCATTCTTACTGTGGTGAAGATGAGTAATTCTATTAGCAAAAATAGGTCAGTGTACTACTGGAGTGAGCCTCCTGGATTCTATTCCTAAAGCTTTTTTCTATGGTAGTGAGCAAATTACAGTTATCTCTCTGTTGCACTTGTGAAACTCTCATGAGGAAAAAAAATCACCACAAAGATTTATCAGGTAAGAATAATAACAATATTCATCTGTCTCCGCTAGGTATCTTGGAGCGTTGGTATGATGCTCTTAGATTTTTAGCAGGATGGCAACACACTGTTATGTTTGTGTGCTCAGTCTGTTAGAATTGTTTGCTAAGAAATTATCCTCTCTGCAAAGATGTGTTGTTTGTAAAAGTGAGACGGATGAAAGAACTGATGTAGCTTCAGGACAGAGGCTAATCTGGGGAGCTGTAGCTGCCCATGATGACAGGGAGGTCAGTGTGACTGTTTCTCTTGGGTGAGGATAACAAGGCATGATGCAGCAGCACGCACAGGGGCTGCTATGGAAAGATGCTTAAGGGGAGTCACTGGAAAGGACTTGGAGGAAACTAAGGAACAAGAAAAGTATTTTTGGCAGTTGCGCTACAATGGATTAATGTTTTCATTATACAGTGGTTCCGTTCAGGTAAAAGGAGAATATACCTCCATGAAAACAGAAAATGTTTGAGACCAATAAAGTATTCCCAAGGATGGGCAGAAGAAAGCTGCAAGACTTGACGAAGTCTGGAATTATAGTAAGGAATAAAATATAGAGCACACGATGACCTTCAATGTTCTGATTCTTGTTGACAACCAGCAATAAGTGGGGAGATGCTGAAATAGAAGTGGCATAGGGAGGAGACATTGAAGTTACTTTGGTTTTGGTCTTGGTTGTGCTTAGCTTGAGCTGGCAGTGGTTCACCCAAGATGAAGTGTTAGAAAGCAATTCAGATATACAGAAGTGGAGTGTGATCATTTGAGCTATGAATATGTGTCATCAGGACTGGAGTGATAATTGAAGCTTTCTAAATGGAGAAAGTTACCCAAGGACAGGGAAAGAGCTGGTCAGCTTTTTCTTTGAGGGCTAGAAGTGAGACTCTTCAAGTTACAATAAGCTTGAATGTTTTAAGACTTCATTTATGTTTGATTTCTTGTAGACCCAACCAGAAAAAGGATCTGAATGGTCAGACTCTATGTCGTGTCTTATGAAGAAACTGGAACAGTTGAATTTAGACATTGAAGAAGCTCTGAGTGCTGGCTCTTCTCCTTCCAGTACTCCTTCTACCAAAAGGCAAAAGCAAATGGTAAGAATGTGTGTGTTGTATGATACGTTTTCTAACATTTAGCTATCAGATGCTCATCAAGCCATGGTTTTCAGATGTGGTTGTGTTTCTGGATAGGCTGAGGAGCTCAGGTTCATGGATAAAGTAAGTTACAATTTTCAATAATGATGAAATCTCATGAGTTGCTTAGATGATTGATGGTCAAATAAACAGAAATATCATAGGATGAAACTTCCTGTCAATATGGCTTTAAATCATTTAAATACCTTTTTTTTAGAGGGGAATTTGAATTCAGGTGATTGCATTTGATAGTTTTTCAGGATAGAATATTGTTAGTTTAAAGTTCTAGTGCTGGCGTATTTGCGCTTGTTATATTTATTTAAAAACATAACAGCAAGAGAGATACTATGTATTTTCTTTAAGAGTTGAATATTTTTCTTTACTTTATCTGAATGTTTGTTTTAGAGCAGCATTCCTCTAGTCAAAAATATTCTGTGGTGGCAGGTGTCATCAGTTGATGACACACAGTTTCCCAAGCTTTTATTGGGCAAATGGGATTAAGATGCAATGATACTATTTTAGTAATTTTTTTAATAAGCACTTTTTTTTAATAGGAGCAAGTAATTGGAAAGTGAACAGCATGAGAAGTAGGAGTGTTTGTTCTCTGCTTTAGGTTATGGTTAAAGTCAGTTCTTAAGATTTCGGTTTGGGTTTGCATTGGTGAATGTTAGTGCTGGCTTGAAATTCCTGGAAGGTGAGCTTGTTTGAATGATTTTGCCATTGCTACTGTTTCAGTGCTGCTTAATTTTGTAAAAGTAAATTCCTTAAATAAATGTCTCTGTGGATCTTAGTGTAAATGTTCATGTCCCTCAAGGCGGGACATTCAGAATCTTGCATCTCGTTGTTGCTCTTTGCAGTAGACATTTTCAGATTCTGCTGAGAGTGGTAGTAACAGAGTGGCCATGACTGTCTCATTTCTTTCTTATTGGACATATCAGCAAGTCAGAATCAGCTCTGTCCAACAGAATTAATTTCATCATTAACTTGTCTGTTAATGGATAGTGTTCTGTCTTCTTGTAGGAAACTGCTCAATGTCTTCTGTCAAAATGTGGTGCCAGTGTAGTCTGCTTTTCTGCCTGAAAGTGAAATCCAAGCCATCAGAGTTTAAATGCTTCCCATTGTGAAGGGTTTGGTTTTGGTCATCAGTGATCCAAACACCTGTGATTTTATGGCTTTGCTTATTCTTTTAAGGCAAAAAACATGGTTTGGTTAGGCGTCATTCTTTTTCCATGATGACTTGAACACCATAGGACACTGGATTTCAGATCCATTATTGGAGCATTCAGTGAAGGACAAGTAGGGTGTAGACAGCAGAAAAATCCAAATAAGCAATGTGTTCAAATGCCCTTTGATACATAAGAACAACATCAGAAGTGGTTGCATAGAGAATGTCAACACCAGCATCCCAGATGCTTGCACTTCTTTTACTAAAGCCTCGTGGCAAGACATCTTCTAAGTACAGAGGCTAGGACTTTGGGTGCAGACTCTTCCTGGGGCATATCATAGAATCATAGAATTGCCTAGGTTGGAAGGGACCTTTCAGATCATCTAGTCCAACCATCAACCTAACTGAAAAAAACCATCACTAAACCAGATCTCTAAGCACTATGTCTACCCATCTTTTAAATGCCACCAGGGATGGTGCCTCGACCACTTCCCTGTGTAGCTTGTTCCAATGCTTAATAACCTTTTCAGTGTAAAAATTTTTCCTAATATCCAATCTAAACCTCCCCTGGTGCAACTTGAGGCCATTTCCTTTTGTCCTATTGCCTGTAACTTGGGGGAAGAGACCAACCCCCGCCTCTCCACAACCTCCTTTCAGGAGGTTTACTAGTAACTGTATAAATTTGGCTTCTATAAAATGATGAACCACTTATGGGTTCTTCATATGTTTTTATCCTATTTTGATTATATAAACTGGGAGCTGACACAAGAAATTATGATTGAAAAGGATTTTGGGTGAAGTGATCACAGGTGCAAGGCCAACTTGTAGACTTGAGGTCTCAGAAGTAGGTGACTACCATATGAGTGGCAGCATGTTTGGTGGAGTGGCTTCTCTGAAAATTGATCTCTTGAGGGTGTGGGCAATTTTTAACACATGACAAGAGTATTCATTTCTTATGGCAGATGCTGTCTCTCAAATACATTTTTAATTTAGTTGCTAGGTTGTGCCAATTGGTTTTTTACTGAAGGATTTTTCAACTGTTCATGGAAGTATTATTCTTTAAATTTTCTTGTTGCAAAAATATCTTTCATTAATAATACACTATTGAACAAAAATTTTGCAGGAAGAAGTCTAAATATTGGCTGATGAAAATAGGCTGGGTGAATAGATGTTGTGGGACTTACTGAGTGTAGAGGGTCTTGCATTATTTTGATGAACAAATTTAAGGTGTTTTCTGAAACATAATAACTTCTAGACAAATGCAAAGAGATGGTCTGTCTTTACATCTGTGTAAACTGCACAATGCTGCTGGTCAGTTTTTTATTGGGAGATAGAATTGGGCAGTAGCCCTGCCTGGATGACTCAGTATCTGTTCCAGAAAATATATTAAAAATAATCATCTGTCATCAAATTATTTTCTGAAACATTCTCTCATCAATGCTATAACTACATGATTTAAGTACAAAAAGCTGGGCTATCTGAATGTACTAACAGCAAAACTGCTAGCTTTGGAAAACTGCAACTAATAGTGCTGCTTCTCTAAAACCTGCACCTTCCTTATGAAAAAAGACTTTCTTAGTGGTATAGAAGGAGGCACTTTGTAAATGACATAGTGGAGATAAAACATGCTTGCTGTCAACAGCGTGTTTCACTGTTTAATGCTTCTGCTTCATTGTCATTTGATGTCTAGTACAGAAAAAAAAAGGAGATCTGAAGAATGAGAATCACGTTTTTCAGTTTTAGTCCTTTATCATTCACGGACAGTGAGATAGAAATCCTGTTTGATTGTAATTAGCCTATCCTATGTTAGAGGTACACCTTTCATTGAACAAAATTTTGTCTTAACTTACACATTCTCTTCATTCTTTTGCAGTAGTGTTATCTTCATACTTTTTTGGGCCCCATACCAATTCCTTTGTCAATTTTGCAAAGCCTCCTCCTTTTACAGCCCTAAAAATATACTATATATACTTTGTAAATAATACTAAATATACTTTGTAACTTAGCAAAATGTGAAAATGATGCAGCAGGTGGTTTTAAGAGGAAAGATTGAGCCCACATGTTTACCTTACATCAGAGAAAAAAAGCTTTAAAAAGATAGAATTCCAATGTTTTTCTCTTGTAGTTCACATTAAAAATATTTATGACTTGCCTTTATTTACAGGGTTTTTAAAATTCTCTTACAGTGCCCTGTTCAAGTAGAGACAGGCTTTTATGGAGATCATCAAGGAAAAGGATCTTGGAAAAACAGAAGAGCAGACTACCAGGATCTAGACTGTTTACCTTACCCAGTGTCAACTGGAGCACGACCTAAAACTGATGTAAGTAGCTAGAGCACATTTACAACATTCTCCGACTCTGAGATTCAGTAACCTCAAAATTTACTATTTATCATTAAAATTGTCCTTGCGTTTTCTCAAAGTAGCTTGTTCTGCAAATATTACACTGCCCAGAGGAGTTTGGTTTGCAAAAGAGGTACAGATTATGAAAGTTAATTCAGTCTTCAGTGAGACTCCAGGGTTGTGGGATTCATCTAATTTGATTTTGGACAATTCTAGTGAAGACTTCTACATCTGAACAAGTCACTTGGACTGCCTTAATAGTCAATGGAAGGAAATAGGCATTTCTAAAGAGTATTTAGTTGCATCTGGAGGTTAGATGTGATGGATTCCAGGCATCAGATCAACTACTGGAGGTTTCGTTAAGCCTGACTTCTAATCAATAATAGCGATACATATTTTGTTTCCTTTTTTTTTTTTTTTTTAGCAAGATGATGTTGAAGTCTGTTAAAATCTATCAGAGGGTTTCCCCAAAAGGCTTCGATTCACTTCCTCAGTAACCAAATGTTATATTTATGCATGTCCAAGTAAGCTGTTTTAGGATCAGTGATTTGGTTCCAAAATGCAGATCATTTTACTTCTCGGTTGTAAATTACTTGGGTGCCAGCAGTGTCCATGGTCATCACACAGGATAAAAATGGCTGCACTGGTTTGTATCAAAGGTACTTCTAGTCCAGTGTCCCTTCTTTGGCAGTGGCCAACTTTAGATATTCAGGAAAGAAGTGTAAGAACAGAATCCTGGGCTGCATAGGGAAGAGTGTGGCCAGTAGGTCAAGGGAGGTCATTTTTATCCTCTACACTGGTGAAGCCACAACTGGAATACTGCATCCTGTTCTGGGCTCCCCAGTTCAAGAGGGACAGGGAACTACTGGAGAGAGTCCAACATAGGGCAACCAAGATGATTAAGGGATTAGAGCATCTCCTTTACGAGGAAAGAGTCAAAGAGCTGGGGCTCTTTAGCTTGGAGAGGAGAAGGCTGAGAGGACACCTTATATACGTATACAAGTATCTAAAGGGTGGGTTGAAGGATGATGGAGATGGACTCTTTTCAGTTGTTTCCAGCAATAGGACGAGGGGCAACGGGCACAAGCTGGAACATGGGAAGTTCCATTCAAATATGAGGAAGAACTTTTCTGGTGGGGGTGACAGAGCCCTGGAACAGGCTGCCCAGGGAGGTTGTGGAGTCCCCTTCTCTGGAGATTTTCAAGACCCGCCTGGATGCAGTCCTGAGTGATGTGCTCTGGGCAATCCTGGTTTGGCAGGGGAGTTGGACCAGATGATCTCTAGAGGTCCCTTCCAACTCTGACAATTCCGTGATTCTGTGAACAGGGTAAGCAGATAGTATGCCATTTCAACTTCCTTTGAGGTATTTATCATGCAGACACATTGAAGGCAGACGCTGTATTGCAGAATTGTAATTAATAGCCCCCAAGGGTCTTTTTTGCAACTAGTTGTGTCTTTTGTATTTATTTGTTCTTTTGATATCCAAAGCATCTTGTAGCGATTCCAATGTTTAACTGTGGAGTATGAGAAAAAACACTTATTTCTTGTTGTAAATTTGCTACTGGATTATTTGTTTGTCTGTAATTCTTGTACTGCAAAAAACTGAATCTTAGGAATCTTGTAGGAAGTAGTGAATACCTGGGACTGTTTGGGTTTGGTTTTTTTTCAGTATGTCTGACTATATTTATTGATACTGATTTTTTTCTGCCTGCCTATCTCATGCTCATTGAGCATCATGAGGTTCTTTTGCAGCAATTGGCAGTCAGTTTTTGTTTTTATTAACCTCTATAGTTTAGTATCATCAGAAATCTCTGTCTCTTGTTATTCCTCCATTTTTCAGATCATTTATGAGTATATTGAACGTATACTTCCAGGTGAGGCTGCCTGGTAATATGCATCCGCTGTGAAAGAACACAACCAATTATTCCTAACATTTTTTTTTTTCACTTTTAGTTAGCAATGAAAAGACATTTTTATTTCTTGAAGTCTTTTTTGGTTTTCCTCCTTGACAGCATTAATTTAAGAGTCCGGTAGATAACTTCCTCAGAAACCTTTTTAAATGGAAGTGCATTGTATCAGCCAAATCACCTATATCTGCGTGATCATTCAAAGAACTTGGCCTCCAAAAGTCATACTTAACTGTTCCCTGTTAAACTGTTTTACTATCTGTCTGCTTATTCTGTTCTTAAGCATACTTTCTGGCAATTTTCTGCCATGTGTATCAGTCTTAGTAGCATCTCTTCCACACATAGCTTCAGAGTCGTTTTCAAATATTGCCATTGCATATGCCACCCTCCATTCTTCCGGTCCCAAAGCCAGTAGGTTTTAGCAATAATTACACATTAAGTCAATATCTCAGCAGTTCTATGTCTCCTGATGAGGTGCTTATTTCAAGTTATCTATGCAATTTTGATTAAAGCAAAATCTATTATATTAAAGGTATCTTTAAAACTGTCATGCTGTTCATCTACCAAAGAACGATCTGTGTGCTGCCATACAAATTCTGCATTTCATTAAATGAGCCTACTCCTGTTCATTGAAATGGAAATTTGAAGGTGGGCTCCACTTGCTTACTAATTAAGAACATCGTCTTCCCACCAGCTGTATCCTTTCCTTAGAAAATAAGTTTGCTGTTTTCCATTTCTGGAAAAAGCACAAACATTTGTTCTGATTTGTCGCTTGTTCTAGTTGGAATAGATAATAGAATTCAGTAAAATGTCAGATATTTGCCAACTTTATTTGTTTTTCACCTTGGCCTAATGTTCGGGCATGCACAAGTATCATTGCTTAACTGCCTTCCCACTAATAGTATGTAAATATTTTTGAAGTGATGTTGCAGTAATAGTGTTGTTTGACTAAAAGTGTGTAGGAGAGAAGGCAGAGAAAGTAACTTTGGGGTGTTTTTCTTTTCTGAAGTCTACATTTCTCTTTTCATTGAAATTCAGGAAATACTAGTAAAATAAATAGCAGTCTTCATCAGTACAGTCCATGCATTGCATCAAAAATTTCTAACAGTGTAGTAACAGCAGTGTAATGCAGAAAGTGCTACAGTTGCTTAGGGCACCATCTACTCTAGAAACCTACTGGGGGCACAGAATTTATTTAGAAATTACTGGGCTGTTTTTTGAATTGGCCAGTGCTTTAGGTTAGGGATAAATGTTGAAACTGGGTGCTTGCAAATTTCAATGAGGTAAGCAGATAATTTTACTTTATTCAAAGTACAGCTTTTGGCGTATGTGCTACATTTCAGGCAAATACAAATAATGCTATGTCTAGCTGCAGGCATTCAGTCTGTGTGCGCCTGTCATGTCTCTCCAATACCTGAATTTTCTCTGCTTATTCCTTAAGATACAGACTTTTCCCTGTTTTTTAAGAAGAGTACACCAAAGTTACTTATATTACAGTAAAGGGGATGGATCCAAATGACAAACGGCCCAATTTTGTCTGTGTCACACCCTGGTTGCATCTGTTTAACTCCCATGATCCAAGTGGTATAATACATAACTTGGGAGTAACACAGAGATAAATCCTGTTGTATTTTGAGCTAGTTTTTCTTCTCTTCCAAAGTTTTGTCAGTCAAGAGGTCAAAAGGAGCTTATCCGTCTCTGCTTCCCAGGAGCTTATACACCTAGGCATTTGGAAAATGAAATACTCTATAACTTACTGCAATTAGTAAATGTAGTGGAGGAGACCAACGTTAGAAATAGCAGGGATGCTGTAATTCAGGAATAATAGGCAGAGAATTATGCAGGACACAGTTGTTCAATTCTCCATACAAGGCAGTGACGTTAGCCACACACTTTCATGGATACCAACTAGACTGACAGGTTAAAAGGTGCAATGAAGGTTTCTGTGGCAAACCTGTGTCACAGTAAGTATTCTGTTTAAATGCCTTTAAAAGATGACTCACACTGGTTACAACAGTTTGATAGAATAATAGTGCAAATCGTGGTTGTAGGGCAGTGATGTGAGATGACATGTCTCCCCTCATTCCTTCCGCCACAAAAGTTGCTTCACTGAGGGAAACATTATTTGTGAGTTACTAAAGGAGATACATACCTACGGTTGTGGGGAAGTCAGGTGCCTGAGAGTCAAATAGCAAATTTTCACCTGACAAATGCTGGCATTTTAAAGTCCATATCTACATCATAGAGATTCCATCAATGGAGAGAAAAAAGCACTTCTACAGCAAGAGCAATCTCACCCTGAAGTAGCCGCCTGAATTTAGGTTGCCCGGTTGAAGTGCTTTGTGCCCCCAACGTGCTTTTGTTGGTTGGTTGAGTATTTGAGGAAGTGACTGGCTGAGGCATGGGTGCTTAGATCTGGGTGAGCTAAATCCCTCCCATGGCATATAAGTTATGATCTGGCATTTGATGGCAATGGGCAATATCTGGCTCTCTGTGCACTGTGCAGAGGAAACTGTGACACCCTGATGATCTAACTTAAGAGTCTAATACCGGGTGGTGTAAAAGCCTCACCACTAAACACCATTGTAGAAAGCAAAATATCCTCTGCAGTATGCACTCTGGGAATTAGTAAGGGAACAAAACCTCATATATGGTAACAAGGTGGGCTTTTTCCTTTTTCTGTGTTAAGTCTTCTTTTATGTTTGTTTGTTTGTTTGTTTTTTAAGTACGGTTGATGAGCACACTTGTGATTTCTCATGCTTGAGTTCATTAAACCGGGTGGGCTGCAACTGATAATTTTATAGGTTTCAGGCTTGTTTTAACCTGGATTCTTGGTCTGGTTCACTGCTCTCAGCCACATGAATATGTAGTCTGGTGCAAGAGAGAATCAGATTGGCTGGGGATGAGACAGGGTGAATTGCTTCTTTCAGCATCATTGCCACCTTCTGATAGCTTAAACTGTCTGTAGAACTGTAGTTTATCTGTGCTAAGCCATTTGATTTAGAAAATGGGAAGCAAACAGTGTCTTGTAACCCACATGACTGAAAAGTGTTTGTGATTCTTTTAAGAAGA